TTTTTTTTTTTTTTTAAACTCTGTATGCCTTCAGGGCAGGTTTGGCTGACTTGAGTTGTGGGGATCGAACCACAGCAACCTGAGCTGGACTGCTTTGCTGAAGCAGCCACTTAAAGAACTGAGCTACGGGCAGGCCCTCTGCCAGCTGTTTCTAATGAAGCATGTATCCAGGCCCTAAATGGCTGGGCTAGATTGGAAAGTTGCGCGGGTATCAGTAGGATCTCGTTCTGTGTGGCACACGTTCATCTCCTTCACTGTTCTGCAGAGACCAGAGTGGAGTGGTGAAATTTTATGGAAGTTTTGCATTTAACAGAAAACGAAATGTCTTAGAATTAGAAATCAAACAGGATTACACATCTCCCGGAACTCAGAAATACGTGGTAGGTGTTTTTTCTACAGTAGCCTCTGCTCAATTCCTAGTCTCTGCGGAAAGGTCTGAGGGAGCTTGGTGGTTAGAAGCTGCGTGAGAAGATTTGTTTGCAGAGAGGAAAGAAGGTAGATGCCATGTGTTGGTGGAGGGGAGAGGCCTTCAGAGGAGACCTGGCCTCCCCTCAGCTCTGGTGCCCTCTGTCTGCGTGTACGCATTTTTCTTCTGTGTCTCACTGTGCTTCTGTCTGCACGCAGCCAAATGCGTTCTCTAGCACTGTTTCTGTGAATGGCATGTTTTCTGTTTAAGGGACCACTTAAAGTGACAGTGCAGGAGCTAGATGGATCCTTCAATCATACGCTGCAGATTGAAGAAAACAGCCTGAAGCATGACATTCCCTGCCATTCCAAGAGCAGAAGGTAGGCCCTGCGTCCTGGCTGCCCCAGCACTGCACCAAACGTCCCAGAGGCTGCACATGCCAAGACAAGTCCTGTGTGCGTCTCATCCTTAGGGAAGGAACACACTGCAGCCACCCTCTTCCTGCTTCACTTTAAGTCAGCAGTACCGCAACATTTTTGTTTGCTTCTTAACCCTGGTGACGTTTTCATCTGAAGGATTCAGTCATTTGTCTCTGACTAGTAAAGAATGTTTCTGTGCTCCATTGGAGGAATGTGCATAGTCTCACCATTTCACAAATGGAAGTCTTCAAACTCTTTATTTCACTTCAGACAGATGAGAATGATGGTTTGGGAAACCTTAGGAACTGCTGATGGTGAATCTCCTTCTAGTCATTTTTATCTGAGAAAAAGTGTTTTCTTTGTTTTTATTTTTGTGGTTCTGGGGATCAAGCCCAGGGCTTCACATGTGATGGGCAAGTGCCCTCCCATGCAGTTGCAGCCTGGCCTGTCCTAGACAGAGTCTTAGTTTGGAAAGAAGTCCTGAGCCCCCTTGCTCTGTCCACCTTTGTGATTAGGAACATGCAGCCACCACTTTCAAAGCACTGCCTTGAGTTTTATCCTCTGTACTAAGAGGGACCTTTTAGCCCTTTGTCTAAGTGGTGCTGAGCTCGGACCTTGAGTCTTTGAGTTGTATCCCCAGCCCTTTCTTTTTGAGATAGGGCCTTGCTGAGTTGCCCATGCTGGGCTCAGCCTTCTGAGCTTCTGCCTCAGCCTCCCAGAGTGCTTGTTGAGTCACAGGCATCTCGAGTGTTCTCTGCTGTAAGGACATAGCAAGGCTGTTTTCTGCTGCAACTTAAATTCATATTTCCACAGTTGTCAGTGTGTCAGCCAGTAGTTCTGATGCCTGAGTAGTGTGTGAGCTAGCAGTTCTTAGCTTTGCACATTAGCTCTACATGGTCATTAATCCTCAAGGTATTTTATTAGCCACTTCAGTCTGTACAGGAGACACTGGTGTGCCTGCAGCACTGACCTGGGATGACATCTCACTTCAGCCCTGGCTATGTTTTTCATTACTAGAAGGCATTTGTTTATGGTAGATGTTCTTACTCTGCAGAACATTGTACCTACCAGATGTTGGGAATCTACAGTAATGTGTTTTGAACTAACATTAGATTATTTCTGTGTTTCATTAAATTTTTATCAAGAAAATACTTCAGTATTTATTCCACTCCCTCTAGATTCAAAATAGATTGTTTTAAGTTCCATTCCATGTGCTATCCCTTCTACCTGAGATCTTCCACTTATTTGCTACTACTTTTTATCTTCAGATTTTAGAATTTTTCAAACTTTTCCTTAAACACAGGAACAAAAAGAAGAAAATTCCACTGATGAATGGAGAAGAAGTTGATATGGATCTCTCTGCAATGGAGTAAGTTACTTAAGAATATGTAATTTTCAACCTGAGCATCTTCAACACTTTAAATCAGCAGATCCCCCATGGTAGGGGCAAACTCGCCTGGAATTATGGCTCCGCGGAGATGGAGCCATCTGGGCGGGGTCAGGAGGGAGAGAATATGAGGTGTGCTGGAGGGACAGGCCCAGGGGTTTGCAGTGCGCTCTGGTCCTGATGGGGACTGGCCCAATGGTTTGGGTGTCTGCTGACCCCAAGTGGCATCTACTAGGTAACACTGGTTGTCTTTGGAACAGGGCTCCAGGGAAGTAGAGATTTCTTGTGTTTGCAAAACATAGTTTAACGGCCACTACCCTAGTAGCCATGTGGTGACATTCATGACCATGTTCATTTTTAAATGTGGTACAACTCATCCTTTGTTATTTTGCCCCGTCTGGTCCCTGTGTATCTTTCATAAGACAGTTATGTGCAGATTTGGCTGCTGAAGTCACTGTGGCTTCCATATAGGAACTTCAAGATCAGTGTTAATTTACATTGTTTCAGAGCAAGTACTTTGCCTATGTGAACACCCAGTACTATTTGTTGAATTGAATTAATATTACAGGTGATTTTTTTTTTTTTTTTGTACTGGGGATTGAACTCAGGAACTTGTGCTTGCTGAGTACTTATGCAGCTGAGCTATCTCCTTGCTTGATGATTTTCTTTTGATGAAAGTTTTAGCCTAGACTTAAGTTTTGTAACAGGGTCTTGCTCTGTAATTCAGCTAGGCCTTGAACTTACTCTGTAGCTCAGATTAAACTTGAATTCACGAGGATCCTTCTGCCTCAGCCTCCCAAGTGCTGGGATTAGCATTGTGTACCAACATACCCAGTTAATCTAGATTTGAGTTTTAAGTCATGATTGTTACTTAAGAACATAAGGATAAACTCACAATTCCTTTTTTTTAAAAAATGTGTTTAGTACAGGGCATACAGGGGCTCACTACACAGATCACAGTTAGTGATCCTCCTGTGTCTTCAGCCTCCCAAGTGCTGGAATTACAGGTGCATGCCACCATGCCCAGTCTCTGTCGCGGTCTCAGTGCACCCTGGGGGTGGGATCAGCACAGCACACCAGGGCTCAAACCCCGGCTCCTGGGCTCTGGTCTACCTAAGCAGGTGCTTTAATTCACTGAGCTGTCTGGCCAGCCCTCACAGTTCCTTTAAAACTGTGATTTCAGAACTTGATGTTCGAGAAAAGTAATCATGAGTAAAGCATTTAAAAAAAGTAAACTGAGCAAATTAATATAGTATTTTTTATTTTTTAGTCACAAATTGATTTCTAATAAAGGGTAATGTTTATAGTCATGGTCAGTTATTAGGCTATAGAAGATGAAATAAAGAAATTTTGTCACTTTCTTTTCCACATTTCATAAGTAAATATGCCAAAAGGTGGGAAGCAGGGGATTCAGGATTTTATATGACAGCTGTTTTCATATCCTTGGCTATCTTTAGCAAGATGTAGATGTAGGTGTAAATTCTTACATCATGAGAAAGTTGACATATGTTGAATAGTAGAACATTTTTCAGTGCACTTTATTTTTTAAAAAATTTTATTTATTTATTTGGTACAGGGTCTCACTATGCATTGTAGTGATCCTCCTGTCTCAGCCTCTCTAATGGTGGGATTATAGGCGTGTACCACCATGCCTGGTTTTAGGGCTGGCATGGTATGCCTGTGGTTCCTGGGCCAGCATGGCATGCGATACTGGGGATCGAACCCAGGTCATTGCACTTGCCAGGCAGGCACTTAGACTACTGAGCTATCTTTCCACCCCCTTCAGTGCAGAAGGATTTTTTTGTTTTGTTTTGTTTTTTGGGGGGGATGGGGACTCAGGATGCATTCAGGGCAGGTCTGGTTTGGCTTGAGGATGAGGGGATCGAACCACAGCATCCTGAGCCTGACTGCTTTGTTTCAGCAGTCACTTAAACATTTCAGCTAATGGGCAGGCCCCCCAGTGCACTTTAAAAAGTAAATATAGTAAATCTCAACAGTTTTGTGTATTAGCGTCTAGAGTCTGGCCCGTAAGCACCTTGATTCTATGTTGTAGAAATAAGAGGCTTTTCCTTTTTAAAAGTTAAAGCGTTTTCTCTCAGCGCTGACTCTCCTTTGCTGTGGATCCGGATTGACCCTGACATGTCGGTGCTGCGGAAGGTGGAGTTTGAGCAGGCTGACTTCATGTGGCAGTACCAGCTGCGCTACGAGCGTGATGTGGTGGCGCAGCAGGAGTCCATCCTGGCGCTAGAGAAGTTCCCGACGCCTGCGTCGCGCCTGGCACTCACCGACATCCTGGAGCAGGAACAGTGCTTCTACCGTGTGCGCATGGCCGCCTGCTTCTGCCTGGCCAAGGTGAGCACGAAGCAAGCAGGGTGGCTTCTGGGGGCTCAGAGAAAGCCTCTGATAAGCGCAGGGGGACCAGCCAGCCTATAAATTGATGTGACATGTTTTCCCAAGAAAGCACTTACTAAAAGCTTTTAACACACTGACCTGAAAGAAATTTTCTACCTCAACATAGACATTTATACATACTTTCTTGTCCAATCATAAAGCAGTGGATTTTAAAAGGCAAATAGAGTTTTCGCTGTCTCATTAAATTATCAATGTTTTTGTAGAGACTACAATTTGCTAAGGAAGTCCCTGATTTGAATGATTTTTTGGGGGGAACTAGGACTTGAACTCAGGACCTTGCACTTGCCAGGCAAGTGTTGTACTGCTGAGCTATATCCCTGGCCCCTAAGTGATTAAAAAAAAAAAAAACAAAGAACATTTTACGTGAAATCACATCAATTCCATTTCCTAATTATTTCACATTGATTTGGGCTTACTTAGCAGATTTTGTGGTAAGTCATTGAAAGTAATTGGCTCTATGATTCCAGTTCTAGAAAAATTACTTCATTGAGGAAACTCAGTATTTTTCCTTGATGCAGAAAAAAAATCTGACGGCGGAACAAGTGCTACCAGAATAACACAGATAAGAATGTGGCCAGAAGTACTAGTTACCAGTCATTTACAATGCAGCTTGATAATAGGTTCATTCCATTTAATGATTCCCATTTCTAACTGCTGTATCTATTTGCCTTTCCTTTCAGCAGATCATGATAGTTAGGTTGGTTGGTTTGCCTGTTTTTGAATTTTTGAGACAGGGTCTTGCTGTAGCCCAAGTTGGCCTCAAACTCATAGTGATCCTCATGCTCCATCTCCTGCTTTTAGGGGGCAACACAGCTGACCAGATAAATTACGAGTAGGTGACTTCCGATATTCAAGTATTAGGGGCAATATGATGATTTCGTAAGGGATGTAATTTCATTGCTTCTTGTAAAATGTTTTGTGATTCCTATGTGCTAAAATCATAGTCATAACATCATATAATGTTATTTAAATAAAATTTTTCTATTTTCTATATACTTTAAAAATACCAATTGCAAGATCTCTTTTTAATGTAACACATTCTTACAAATGCAAATAGTAAACTGTGTTACCTTGGTTTTTACTTGAGTAGACCA